TGATGTGAGCAAAAGAGTGTCCTCATGGAGGCTATACGAACATAGCTATAAATACATCTTCACACTTTTAGTTCTGCATTTCCCTGTCTAATAAGCCCCAAATATTTTGGGGAGAACCAGTCTTCTGTTAGAATCAAGAGCTGAACAGAAAAGCCAGGGTGATGTGACAGAGCTCAAATACTGACCACACAAAAAGTAAAACCTAAGATTCAAAAAACCTGAGGAGTGGGAAAGATTACAGACCAGAAGCTTTGATATTATCCTGTTTTGGTCAGATTAAACTGAGTTAAATTATGCTTTCAAATAACTGTTCATATGGATTGATATTTCACAGATGGGACCGAAGTTACAAACCAAAAAAAGCTCATTTTGTGTAATTTCTTATCTGTGACTGAAATATTTGAGCAGTGGTCACCCTTGAGTGGTTTTTGAGTGTATGTAAAATTTGTATCCTTCAAACAGAGGAGTTGATGTTCCCCAGAGAGGAGATTGAAAGGAGGAGGGGGAGGGTGTCCCCCTGGTGCAGCATTTCCTGTTTACCTCAAACAGAATTTCTTTTAAAAAGGCCTTTGTATGTTTTTGCTTTCACAGCTCAGCTACCACTCAGCTCTGCAGGGTGTAATTTGTACTTCCCAGTTGTCATACATCTAAGGAATCCTCTTTCTAGCTGTGCTCCAGGTTGAGTAGGGCAAAAGGAGACAATTAAGTCATTTCCACTGCTCCTCAACTCATAATTTTTCTAATAACCAATTAAAGTGTTTCATAGCTGCCACACTTTCATTCCTGTGAAGAAATCTAGCTTACAAACACAGACTTATCTGATGAGGATCTGGCTTCCATGTGAGGAAGTTGCAGGGATTTACTAAGCCACAAAGTCATGGCAAACTTGCCAGCAGTCATTTGGCTGCTCCTGTATTTGTGCCTTCAGGAATATTCTTTCCTGGCCATGCAGTGCAGCATCTGTGTTTGCAGTGGGTGTGTCTGTGCCTGGCTGAGGAGCAGTATCTGTGCTGGGGCCAGTGGAGATGCAGGGTGTGCAGTCAGCGTTAGCCCTCTCTGATCTGTGCACCAACACCAGTTTGTGGTGATTGTCACCTCCGGGGTTGTTCTGAGTCACTGCTGCTGCTGCTGCTTCAGTGTCAGCTCCCACCAAAGTCAGAGGGAGTTATTTTGTTGATTTCAGGGATCAAACGGAAAGGGGAAAAATTAAAAAAAAAAAGGAGAGGAAGCAAGGGAATGAGATTGTCTGTGGGGTTTTTTCCATCTCACTGATGTGTGACATTTCCATCTTGAGTTTTGATTAAATTTCCCTTAATTAGCCCATTAAGCTAAAGCCACCAAAGCTAATGATTGAAATGTTGGTTAACTGATGATCTTTTTTCAATGGAATTTGAAAGACATCACATTTCTAAATTAATAGTGGCATTAAACAAGGGAAGATAAAATGATGAACTATTTGTTGCAGAAATGCTGGTCTCAAGAGAAGGTTTGTACTGAAATTGCTTTCATGTTAGCAAAAAATAAGATTAATAGGCAACCCAAGCAGCACTGATGGTCCTAATATTGTTCAGCATTCACAGATTTTCTGTATATTGGAGGCATTTCTGTCTTTTTTTTCTTCATCCCTGATTAACTTGTGGCTATTTCTCTTGTGGAGAGTTCTGGTCCTGGTGTTCCTGCAGGTGAAATTAGCAAGGCTATCTCTTAACTTGAGTGAACTGTAAATAAAAGTAAAAAGCAACCTATCGCATTCTGATACGGGCATGTGACATGGCACTCCCTTCAACAACAGAAATACTGGTTTGTGTCATGCCTTCAAGGTCTTAGAAACTGAACATTTGATAATTCTTATAAGAACTGCCCTTTATTGACTGAAGAGGCACGACATGAAAAGTGCATCAATGCGTAACACCTTGGGGCATGGACCTTTGGAAATTGCCTGAAGATATTTTTAGAAGTGCTCCATTGCCTGGAGGCAGAAAGAAGGTGTACTGTAGTCTTTGCAGAGGCATCTGTCTCTTATGCTCCCTGAGCTAAAGTCTGCAGGAGGGAAAAGCTGACAGAGAGCAATTGCTTATTTGTCTTTGTAATTAATTTTGCAGCCTCAGTTTAACACCTTACAAACATAAATTCACATCAAAGTGTCTGCAAGTGGCATTTAGTGAGAGTGAACACCCTGAGGAAATAGGCTGAGGCTCAAATGCACCAGGCTTGGTCCCTTCAATGCAGCACCAATGGTCACCGTGTGCAGGGCAGGGATTTTCACACTGAGCTGTCTGAAAGATGTGCAGCTGAGCCAGGTTCCACCCTGCCTCTTCTTGGGCATTTCAGCAGCACACAAGAAGGAAGGAAAAGCTTCTGCTGTATTTTACAGCCTGAGGTAGGTGCTGGTTCTCCATAACACACACAGAATGTGACCTGTGGTGCTTTAAGATCTGTTTCACACACAGTTCAATCATCTCTGCTGCTGGCACTGTGACTTGGAGGAAAAAGTAGATTCAGAGCCCACTGCGTGTGTCCAACAGCTTTTGTTTAAGTCTTGTATGGAGTATCTCAAACTGAACAGCTTATGTTTATGCTAGAGCCTGTAATTTTATTTAAAGTGTTGTGGGATATCAGATGTAGAGCAAATGAGGGAGGGAGGCAGGGGGCGGGCAGCCAGTTCCATCAGAAGCCAATTTAATATCCAAAGATTATATGTTCCCTTCTGTTCTCCTCCTAGACATACCCACAAGGGATTTCAGGTATCCCAACTAAGAACTGTGAGACTGTTGGCAGCATCAGGCTGCAGTTGCACTTTTTATGGATTTGTGAAGGCTAAAAATATGCTTTTGTGATATTCAGACTGGTATGGATGGAGCTGCCACCTTTTGAGCTGATAAAGATGGATCATTTAGCAAGGAAAATTTTGTCTTGTAATTTGGAGCTGCCTTTGATGCTAGGGATACTCTTCCTTCACCATATCCACTATTATTTGTGTCAGTCACCTGCTCTTTCATGGCAGCTGATCATGTCTTTAGAACACAAAAAGTCAGTTTTAGTGAAGTCTCTCCATATGTGCAATGCATATCTCCAAGGAGTGAGAAATTTCAGTGTTGGAACATCGTTGCTTTTCTTTATGAGAAATAAGGGAGAACATCGTAACTACAGAAATCTTTTCTGTTGTGGGTGGACTGTGGCCTGTTCTAAACCCTTTGCACCTTTTGGAGGCTGACAGGAGTTTTTTCTGGTTTGACTTTTTGCTTTAGTTGTGTCAGCTTTTCTGACTCTGCCCAGCTGTAGCTTGGCAGGAACACCAGTTGCAGACAACGATGACACTCCAATCTACATATCCTCAAAATATCCTCACAAATATCCCTGGGGTCTGTTTTAGCTTTTGCCAAACCTCACTGTCCCCTGTGGAAAGCTGCCCTGTGTTGGAGAACAGCGTGGAAGTTGGTTACATTTGCTGACAGAGTCAGGAGTCTCAGTCAAAATCCACATTCAGAACACAGAAATATGCTGTCCCACAGTAAACATGCACATGACCAGGGCAGCTTCACTGGAATTTTGGTTTTGAGGTCGGCTTGCTGGTAAAGGCGAGGTAGTATTTAAAAACAGTAGAATCGTCAAGACTAATGTAAGAATGCTAATAACATACACAAAGCTGAGAGAAAATATTGTAGTCCCAGTGCCATGCAGAAAGGACTAGAGTCTGTGAGAAGAAGAAAAAATATCTGCCAGTATTTAGATCCTTGCTGCAAGGAAGAGACAGGATTTCTAAAGCCTTTTGAAATAAATAGAGGTGCTCCTCAAAAATACTTTGTTCTGTCATCATTTTCTTGTCTGAACTGAAACACCTGCAAGAATGCACATTCTGACTGAACATTTATCTCTAAAATATAAAGCAGGAAGCACCAGCAATAGATCTACATTAAAGAGACCCACGAATGGTTTAACTTCTGCTGGTGTAAAACATCAACACACAACAGAGAATGAGGTTTAAATAATATTTCATACTCACTTGCAGCTAGTTCTACATCATGTGATTGTTTTATGTTTTTCTAGTCTTGATGCAACCTCTGAGCATTGTATATGACTGCTCAGCTATGGTTGGCTGCTTTCAGAAATTTTTCTCTTTCCTAAGCAGAGTATTATGATTTTATGTGGCAGATATGCATGGAGAGAACATGAACTTGCTAAGCTGAGAGAAAACCTAAATCCATGAGTACACAAAATTAATGCGTGGTCAATGTACTGTCAGATTTGAAGCATTTGGTTGTGGGTAATTTTTGCTCTTCCTGTTGACTTGTAATATCACTGAGAGTGAATTTACAGTGATTTTTCTTCTGGTAATGTAAGAGTGGCATAACTTGCCAGCAAAAGCCAGCTTTCCTTAAATCAGGAAGTGATTTAAGGCAAACCTCCTCAGCTTCTCTGAGGAGATAATGAGTTCTGCTCTTCCTGTGGACTACCCAGTGTCAGTTCCTCTCTTTTGTGACTGCCAGGGCTGTTAGACACCCTTTGCTTCCTACAGAGCACATCAACACCAAATACTTTCTAAAATTGGTTCAGCCTTTGATTGCCAGTTCCTTTTAGGAACTCCAAATTACTTCAGGAGCCCTGCCTACTTATTTTTCTTAACACTTTAGGTTGTAAATCACTTCTGAGAATAAAACCTCTTAGAGGTCTGGTTGGTTGGTTGGTTGGTTTTTTATTTGTGCCAGAATCCAGGGGACTTTGTTTTCTGACAACATGCATACACGCAATTCTGCTTCTTCAGGCTGTTTGTCTGGAGGGAAGAGTGGGAATATTCTCTAATTCTGTCCACCTGTATTACTGTATAGCTCTCCTCCTCAGATCATCTTTCCTTGTTAGGAGTGAGGATACTTCCTCTATCAATTTAATATTTTTATAGTGAAAAGTTTTTCTTTGCCATTCAAAAGCTGCTTTAATTGTGAAGAGCTCTGAATTTCATGTTCTTTAGCAGAATTTAATCCCATTTTTTCCAATTTGTGCAGGTTTTGGTTTCAGATCACCGCTTCATGGGAAGAAGGCTCTGATGCCATTATTGCTTTTGACAATGTCTCCCTTAGTCTGGACTGTTATTTAACAAGTAAGTTTTCCTTTTATCTGCAAGCGACTTGTCTTTTATTTGCCATGTAATTGAAATTTGGAAACTGCGGGGAACAGGCTGGGTGTCATTATCTTCAAAAGACTCTTGAAAGGCAAAGGTCTGTGTCAGAAATCCCTGTGCTTAGGCAGAGGACCCCGCTCAGGTGCATCCCTTACTGGTGGAGCTGAGCAGGGAGGGAGTTTCCCAGTTTGGCATAAGTGGGTAGTGAGACAGAGGGTGTGGGAGATCAGCTTCCAGCCGAGGCAGAACCATCACCTGTCCAGCCAGGCTGATGCAGAAGCCAGTCTGTGATTACAGATTTCCACATGAGCTGGTTTGCCGTGTGACAGTATCAAAATGAATGGCAGTTGGACACTGGCTGGGAAAAGACAGGCATCCTGTGACTGACACTAACTTTGCAATAACATTGGGCACAATATTCCAGTTAAATTAGAACAAGGTTATTTTATTTAGACTGACATGCATTTAAGTCTGAATCAGAAACTAGGATCTTCACACTCTACTGCTCTGGGGAAAAAATTGGATTCTGATCCTGGCTTTGTGATTGACTGGCCTCTAGAATATGCCCAGTCTTTACCTCTGATGGCACATGTAGATTTTTATTAAACATTTGTGTCAGACTCATCTTTCATAATCTCATGCATAGTGAATTGCTTAATTTGTAAATGTGTTCAATGATCTGTCACTCTGTACCTCAGATCAACAACTTACATGAGGGCTGGAGAATTGCTGCTCTGAACAAATTAAACTTCTGCCTTGGGCTGAGCAGCAGAACTTAAGTGCATCCTTTCTTCTCCTATGCTTGGAGCTGCAACCTCTGTAGCCCTGTTTGGACTGAAAACCTCCAAACCCCTTCTGCAGTCAGAACGTTTCATCTGCTTTGTGTTATGTTAATTTGCATTGCCTGGGGCATGAGTCTCTCCGTTTGTGCAGTAATACCTCTTGGGTTCTGTGCATAAATGCAATATACCTCAAGTTACAAAGATATCTTAAAATTAGGATAGAATTAAAGAAAATTCCTCATACTTTTACTGGCTGAAAAAAAAATTTATAACAGTTGCTAAAGATTGTATTCTGTATTTCTGCTTTGTGTCTTCTTTCACTTAATGTTTTGCCTACCACTCATTCCTGTTTATTTTCCTTTTGTCTCAGTTCCGTAACAACGATGGAAAGTAAATCTGCCCATTTCTTTTAATAATGTTATATCCTGTGACTGCAGGCTCTTATTCTCAGCACAGAAGTCTGCAGCCCTTATTTTAGCTCCAATTTTGGATTACATAGTGACTCAGTCCCCCTCAGCCATAAACCAATCTGTGATTTCTTGTTTTCTAGTCAGTGGAGAGAAGACACCTCGAGGTACCACTCCAGACTCAATCAATTTGCTTACCAGTAGAGGTGGCCAGAAGAAGTTTGGATGGGAACAAAAGCTCCTGGGAAATCTCCAGCTCAGCAGTGCCCCCTTTTCTGATCCAGCAGGTAACTGTCTGAGAAGCATCATCAGATAGGAGAGATTTCCAACTAGCACAGATTTCATTTAGATATGGCTAAATGCAATTTTTTCCCCCAAAGCCTTTGTTTAGAGCTTTTCCCAAGTCCCTTACAAATAAAACAAACATGCTCTAGAAAGAGATTACCTTTAGCTGCTAAATGTAACTTGGTTTTAACTGTAACAGGCTGCCAGCTGGTCAAAGAACCAGAAGGAGCTGCTTGAAGTAAAACGTGGGCTTAAACTGTAAGATAAGTGTGTCTGGTGTCATGGTCATCTAAAAATGGGCAGGAATCAAAGTGAAGTGTCCAAACTGACTGAGTTTAGCATTTATTAACCTCAACACCCAACACTAGTTGATACAGACTTGGTTTGAACTAACAGCCTCACTTTTACAGTAAATAGTCATTGACCATTTGAAACAGTACAGTTCTGGACTTAGAAATGTCAGTCTTGTATGTTAGTGTTACTTTATTCTCCCTTACCCTTCAGCTCCTCTTTCCAACCTAACTGTAATTAGCCCTTCCAACCTAATCAGCCTTTCCAACCTAATTGTACGTCACCCTCCCATCTCTGTCTCCCATGTGTTTCCCTCTCTCCTCTCCCAGGCTTTCCCACATGTTCACAATATCTGTTTTGGGCCTCAAAGGTGCATTTCCATTTGAACTGGCTTCCTTCCCTCCTCCTTGCCAGCCTCTCTTCCTAGCTGGTTCAAGCAGCCACAACCTCCAGCCTAGCTGGAGCAGCAGGGCTGACCATGGAAGTGAGGGGTGGCTGCAGGAGAGGCAGCGCTTGTTACAGCTCCGTGTGCAGCTGTTTCTCCTCACTTAGGGCAGCCACCTGCCACTCTGAAATACCTCCCCTCTTAAGTTAGAGAGCAGGGTTGATAAATGCCTCCTTTGCTCTGTCAGTAAGCCTAGGGATTTGTTCCTGCTGCCTCCTTCTCTCCCACTCTTCCGCCTAAGAAAAGTTCTTTGCATCTTTTTTGTTTCTAGGCTGTATTTCATTTTGCTACCTGTAGTGTTCTCTTGAGGTGTATGGACTAATGGTGTTAGCTCTGATGCTGACAGCAGGCTGGTCAGTGTTGCCAAAAGCCCACAGAGCCCTCAAGGCTCATTGAAAAGCTGGATCCATGAGCTCACTCCGTGCTGCCACAGCAGGGCAGCTGCTGCCGCCTGAGCTCTCTTGTGAAGTGAGCTCTGGCAGCAGAGGCTGAGGGGACAGCCTACAGGGTCAGCTGAGTTGCCATCACATGGAGTTCACTGATGTTTTATGTGCTGAGCATCACACAGCAAGAAAAGTACAGAAGCACTGTCAGGAGCCTCCAGGGAGTGAGACAGAGGCAATGAGCCCATATGAGAGGATGCTGGGCTGGGTGAAGCTGCACTTCAGCTCTAAAGGTTGTGTTTAGCTGTATTACAGATGCTGTGTGTGAGCTTGGGCTGTCACAAAGATATAATTTACAAAAGTATCTTTATACGTTCTCTTTGAAGATCCTTTGAAGTTCTCCCTTCAATATCTGTACCTCTGTTTCCTGCCTGTAAGTGGAGTTGTCTTTTAAGTGCTCTCAGTATTGCCCTTGGGTCAGTGATCTCATGGTAGGATCCGTAGGCAGGGGTAGATTATGGATTTCTGGCTGACTTTCTGTAGGTGGTGATGTAGTTTCCTAAGGCAGCTACTACAGGGTACCTACTGTTTTAGCAACAGAAAAAAAGCATTAGATTATAGATGCAAAGTTAGTGTAAAGTGTGTGTGGGCTAGAAATCCTGTGGCTGTAAATTTTTTTAAGAATTTTGTTATTTCCTACTTTTTACTAGACTTGACATCATCTAGCTCTTCTGCTCCCTGTCCTATCTGAGCAATTCAATTTAAAGGCTTGGATAGTAGAAATAAAGGGAATCAGATTGCATGAGGGTCAAAGAGAAGGTCACTGAGGTTCTTTGAGCAATTAAAATAATTTGTGATGACCTTGGGGTGAAAATTCAAGGCAATTCCAATCTAAAACAGCTTGCCTATTTTCTGGGCTTTATCCTTGGTCTTGTTCATATTCTGTTTAAAATTGTCTCTAGCCCTTGGGGTTTGAAATTACTCCTACAGCAATTTTCTCCCCTTGTGCCCTCAGAGTAGAGAGGGCAGAAACAGAGAAGCTGAGTGGCAGCTTCTTGCAGTGAAAGTCATTGCATTTCTGAGGGTCTCTGCAGCACCAAATTCCCTTTTTCCTTTGTGTTGCTGAGCCCCTGCTTGCTGTCAGGAAACACTGCAGATGCTTGTTTGGTCCCTGAGCTATGTATTTTACCCAGCTTTAATCTTGTTTCTTTCTGCATCCTGTAATGCATTTAAGAAACCTCAGGCTGAGTCTGAGAAGGCCTTTCCTTTGATGGGCACATATTTACTGTTGTGTGAGTGAACCAACAGCATCAGCACCACCCTGAAGTCCCAAAGACTGCACTGACCAATATGAGCTCAGCTAAAGTAATTACAGTTAATAGGATCCTTGACTTGTGTGATGGATTACATGCTATAATATTTCCTTCTTAAGAAATCTTACTAAAACAAAGAACTGTGCTCCTAAAGCTGATGAGACAACAGGATAATAAAATGCCCTCCCTGAGTCCCCAGGCCAGCTCAGCCTTAGCAGCAGGAGCTACAGTCTGAAAGACAGGTAGCACTTTGTTTACACTGCATTAAATCCAAACAAGCTCTGTTGTTTTCAAGGGCAGGGGCCCTCCACTTTGTATCTGAGCACAGCCTCTTATATACACACCTGCTGCTTTTGCCTGTGCTTGGAAATGCACTTTCAGCAGAACTGATGGCTGGCACCAGCAGCCCCCCTGCCCTCTCTGCTCTCAGGCCCTGTACATACTGACTTGCTTCTTCAGCCTTGACGCTGTTGGTCATGGCTCAGAGTGACTCTAGGTCATGCACCATGGAGACTCAAAATACACAATACAGCCACACTGTCAAACACCCTAAAGCTTCCAAAAATGTGTTGCCACTGTAGTGTGTCACACCTGGGATCATGAACACAATGGCTAGAAGAAGACCTGAACTGCCTACAACTAATGTGGTGGTGTTGCTGTTCTGGTGGTTCTGTTCTGGTCCTGGTCATCAAGTTCCTTGATGACCAGGACCAGAACAGAAAAATTCCTGTGGTTTTCAAATCACACAGTTACTTGCAGTGCAAGGTGGCCATTAGGTGTGGGAACCCAGGACATCCCTCTGGGTGCCCTGGGTGACACGTGCCCCTGGCAGGGGGCTGGGGATTCCTGGCTAGAAGCAAAGACACTTGGGATTTCGATCTTAACCCATGGAGCAAATTACCAACCTTGTATGAAGTCACAGAAGTTTAAGTAGAGTAATACTGAATTAATCAAGGGGTGAAAAATGGAGTTTTGGGGGTTTTATAATGGGGGGTCTGGGAGGCAAGATGGAGGGACACGGGCGTTGTCCCATGCTTCTTCCTTCTTCTTCCTAGCCTCCATCTTCTTGGTGATGGTGGCACATTTAGATTGGCCTAAAGTAGAAACAGACAGTCTAACATAGACGATAGGTATTGGAAAAGAATGATAAATAAAGTATATGTAACTCATAGTAAAAAATGTAGACACCAGCCCAGGGGTGGGCAGTGTGCCCTTGACAGACCTGCAGAGCAGACCTCTACAGGTCTGAGAGAAAATATTTTGGATAATAGATAATAAACAACCTTGTGAACCAGAGCCAAAGAATCCCGGCTCTTTCTTCTGCCATGGGGCTGGGAAAAAGGGACTCTCGGGTCATCCCGAAAGCAAAAAACCTGAGAATTAGGTAGATGTTCACAGGGCAGTGCAAATGTTTTCCTTTTCGATTAGCTAATGATGTGTTATTTGCTGGAATACCAGCTTCTTGCTGGAAGGTTGCAGGTGAAATTTGATTCTAGAAGCAGCCTGGAAAAACAGTTGTAACAAGGCCTGCATATGCCAGAAGATTGAATCAGCTTTAATGGAACCAGGATTTTTCATTGAGATGGTTAAATCTGTACAAGAGGCTGAGTGCTGTTTATTCTGTTGTAAACCCAGGCTTACATTGGCTTTGGTTTTAAATTGGTTAGGTATTAGTTTAAGTAAAACTGAAAGCTTCTCAAATCATACTATCATTCAACTACCAATTAAAAAGTCAATTTATATCAAACCAATGCAATTTCCTTTTATACACAAGGCTAGAATATGGGAAATTCGGGCACATAAAGATACAGTGAGCAATAATGAGGAACTTGAGGTAAACAAATTACTATCACAGAAGCTGAAGGAGACAAAATAGGATTCTCAGTAGGCAAAAGGAGATAACAAGACACAGAGCAATCAAGCTTTAATTAAAGATTACTGGTGCTTCTGAATAGGCTTTAAATACCATGAAGATAGCCTCTCTTTTGATGTTTCAGCTTCTCTTCTGTCCCACTGACAACTTATTTGTGTCAGGGCACACAGTACAAAAATGGCATGTTGTGCAATGTGCAAAAATGTTAACCTTTTCTCCCCCCAAATCTTGCATTGTTTCATCCCTTCTGCTCTGCACATCCACCAGCCATTGTGCAGCCCTGATTTCTTGCATGGAAACTGCCATCAAATAATTTTCTTACCCAAACTGGGTTGCTGTTTTCTTCCAGTCCCTTCCCCACAGCAATTAGTGGTTGCACAGATTTTGTGCTTTCCATCAGGGAGAGTCCTGTTTTGAGCACTTCCATGGCTGTTTCTCGGAAGAACTCTCAGTCACATCAGTTAATCAGATGAAGGAGCTGAAAGGGACAGCGGAGCAAGTATTAAGTAAAAGAAAATTACATTTGGTTGCTCTTTGTATGCAATTATACTAACTGAACTGTTGGTATAATGGAATAAAGGTACCTGCAGAATTGTATTTTTGTATTATGCATCAATTAACGCAGTAAATAACTGCCCAGTGCCCCCCCTCCAACAAAAGTAACATTCTGAACAGTGATGGAAATGTTCAGACACAA